AACAGAATCATGAGGTTTTATGCACAGTTGACTCAGATGTAGGAAATTTTTCTACCAGACTTCACAATATATTACTGAATTTTTAATGGCTGTTTTTATTTAGTGATTTATTCATATAAAATTTAAACGCTTGTACTTTACATACATGTTAAGCTCACAATAATTAAAAAGCCCTTTAAACTCATTTGGTTTAAGAGTTTCTAATAAGTCCATTCATGAACCTCCTAAAAGATATCTTGAATTTAAAGGAAAAGAAGCAGCTTCCAAAAACCTGAGATGGCCTAATTGAACAATCTATAGCAGAATTAGGATTAAAATTCATCCCCCTTATATCCTAGTGGTAGTTTAAATTACATGTAAAGGTAGTGTTGGCTTGACAGCAATGAAGAGAATAAACCCAAAGAGCGTATGCTGGTACAGTTGAGAAAACAGTCATTCACATTAGCAATTAAGTACAATTGCCAATACTCACAAAAGGGTAAGATAGTTGCACAAGCAGCTATTTCTCAATAAAATGTGATTCTAGTGATTATCATTCTAAGACAAGCAAGCTACAGATCAGCTAAGATACAGTGAATGTGAGTAATTTTCTTTGTAGTTCATTTCAGAAGACATACCTGCCTCAAGTCCTGAGTGAATGTTCACAGCATCTACCAATCCCTAACATCCAAAGAAAAAGTGTACATGTTATACTCATCCTAATGTGTTAGTAACACAATGTCAAATATGCAGGTGCCTGAAAGAGTTATTTAGTTTTCATTTAGATAATGGAGAAACTATAATTCTTCTCTCTTTAACATTCTGCCCTGAGGATAAATATTTCACTTCTTCCCTTAGTTTTGGCAACACAGTTGAGTGATGACTACAAAATATACCTTGCAGAATTATTGTAAATTGCACTATTTTGCTACTGACACAATGCTGTAATCAAAAGGTTGTTTTCCTGACTGTAAATTCAGTACTGAATAAATTATAAGTAACTGTGAATATGCTAGGAAGGATACATAATTATAATAACAAGGTGGAAATAATTCAAAGTGAAGGTTCATGGTCAAAAACACTTATAAGGAATATATTTTTAACATTTTCTGGAAAAAAATTTTTTACATTTTTATAATCTATTTTACCAGCTTTTCATAAGCAAATGCAAAAATTGATACCATCTTGAAATGCCTACATTTTGTGTGGTTTACTAATGATAACTGAGTTCCTCCAATGTACAATTTTAGCTCTGTTTGCAAATTAAAATTCACTTGGAAAATGAATACATTTTATATTATGAAATCAGATTTAACTTTATGTAAGCTACTATAATAATGACTTTAATTTTATAAAAGTTTTTTTGGAGGGGGGAGTAGTGGTTAATAGAGCATTTTCAGGAAGACTGCTGGGGTTGGATTCCCTGTACCTGTACTTACTAAAAGTGAAATCTTGGGCAAGTTGCTTAATTATGTCTATTTTCCCATTTGTGAAGTGAGGGAAGCAGAAATACTTAAATCATAAGGTCGTCACAGCAAACTAGTTAGAACACGCAGTCCTTAGACTAGTGCTCATCATCTGTGAGAACAGTGAGTCTCACCTTGTAAGTGGGGTGTCTTACACAAAGCCAGAGACTAATATGTGCGCAGTAAATGCAGGGCAAAGTTCACGAGAAACTAAAGTTTCACAGTACTGTAACAAAATTCTATAGATATACAATTTTAAAATATTAATACTTTAAGAACATTATCGATCAAAAGGAGCATGATAGCTAATCATTTAAATAACTTGTTAAGATTTCAATCCCTGTGTGTAACTGCTTCTTACTGTAAAACTTTTCTTTATGTTCCTAAAATTTTCACATTTAAAATCTGTGGTGACTTAGGTAAATTGACTGACTTGAGAGCTTCTTTGATATTATAAAGCCACACAAATGAAAAATGTAAAAAATAAACTGCTTTACATAAAGTAGTGGGTAGTGTCTAAACTTTTAATTAATGTGTGTAAATTGGGAAAAGGTACCCTGTATAATTAATGTTCACAGAAAACTTTGAAGACTTGTTTAAGTCTCTTCTGTCTCTAAGTTTTAAATTTAGTTTTGGTTGGAACTTCAAAGTTAAAAATCAATTTCTCTATTTTGTACTTTCCTACCATAAGGTTTCCTAGAAATGTCAAAATCAAGAAGTAAAGCTATGTGAGGTTTTAGTAGTATGTTTTAAGTGCAGCATCTCTGAATAATCTCAGGTTACTTTCTGAGAACATAAAATTTGGGGTAATGCAGCCTCAGTTATACCAACTATCAGCTAATTCTTGAAAAGCAGGCTATATGAATAGTTCAAGCCTGTTTTCTATAATGCCCAATAAAGACAATATTTACTTCTAATTTCTGAGGTTTACATTAGATAAGACATAAAAATATTATGTCCTTTGGCATATACTATTTGTTAAATAAACGTGGTTAGTACAGTGATGATTATGACAAGGATATTGATGATGATGACCTAGCTAGGGGTTATATCCATCCACACTGTTGTCTTTTATCGCTGATACGTGCCCTATGCCAACATTTCTTTTACATCTGTGATATTTTTTCTTCTTTGTAGAATGTTTCTCTGTCTAAGCCTTACAAGTAGATATTCCTCCAGGATCCACCTGGTTTCTATTCCATTCCTCACGATGCAGTCTCTCCTGATCTTAGCTGCTTTCCATCTCTGGATAGTTCTTCTGTCTAAGGTTATAAGGTGCTATCTCTGGCCCTGCTTTTTCTCCTGAGCCCTTGGTCTGACTGGCAAACTCCCAAACTCCCAGAAGTGCTCCATCATCCCTTCAACTGGTGATGTACTGGTAATCTGGCTCTCAAAAAACAACAAAATTTAAAAAATTAAAAATATTATTTGTAACACTGGCCCTTTTTCAATACTTGGGACTGAACACGGGTCTTCATATTGAGCTACAGCCTCAACTTTTTTTTTTTTTTTTTTTGACAAAGTCTTACTATATTGCCAAAGCTGGGCTCAAACTTGGGATCTTCCTGTCCCCGCCTCTCAGAATCCTGAGATTACATGTGTGTACCACACCTAGTGCATTTACCAATTTTGGTAGGATAAATCAAGGTCTATCTCAGGCCAACAACTTGACATCACTGATTGCAGAATTAGGAGGAGATGTAAATGCTGACTCAGACAAACCGCTCAACTTTCCACAACTCATAATTCCCCCAGACAAAAATTGGGCAACTCTGCCCCATTTCTAGTTAATAAATGTTAATCTCCAATTCATCCTAACTAGAAATATCACAGTCTGTGTTAATGACACTTTTCGTACTCTTAAATTGGTTTTCTCATACTTCTGCGCCTTAGCTGATGTTGCTGCTTCTGCCTAGACTGCCTCTCCCACATTTGCAGTGTAGAAATCTTCAGTCTTGAGCTGAAACATGGAATCCTTTGATGAGCCTCCCTCACTGCTCTCCAATTAGAAGTAATCACTTCTGAATTCTCACTTGGCAGTTTTCTAAAAAAAATAAAAGTATCTGTAGTTGCTTCAGTAAAAGTAAAGAAAGTTTTCTTAGAGTGAAGACAGAAAGGAAAATTCCACCTTAGGGTGTGAACTTGGACTTGGCAGTTCTGAGGTCAGTCCCGCAATCATTCACTTTTCTTCCCTTAGTCTCCTGTACAGGTTACAACCAGCAGTTTGGGGACCTCAAGGGGATCTTGTCCCTTTATTGCTGTGGGAGGAGGATGACTTTTTTTTTTCAATTTTCCTGACTTCTGGCAACGTGATTAACTAAAAACTGGGTTTTAAAACAAAGCATGCGAACAAACTCAAAAAAAAAAGGGGAAGGAAACAGTGGTTCATTCCAACATAAGGTTGTGAGTTTTTAATACCCCTAATCTTATAAATAACACTTCATGATTTACTTATTTTATTAAGGGATTTTAAAGTATGAAATTCAAAAAGTAAAAGGAGTATACAATGTACTTCCAGATACACACCATCCATATGAAGCAAATGAGCATGTATTGATAGTCCCCCTTTCTTCAGATTTTATTTTTTAGAATAGTTTTAAGTTCACAGAAAAATTGATGAGATATATTTCCCATATCCCATACCCCAAACATACATAGCCTCTCCTATTGTCAGCATTCCTTCCCAGTGTGGCGTATTTGTTACAACTGGTAAACCTACATTGCCACATTACACTCACTTGGAAGTTGATCCTTTCCTTTAGAGTTTGCTCATGTTATACATTCTATGACATTGGATAAACGTATAATAGCACCTGTCCACCTTTGTATAATACACAGTATTTTTCATTATTTTGAGATTCTTCTGCACTGTATCCATTTAGCTCTCCCTGCACATCCTCTAGCAACTCCAAGCAGAACCTACTTGTCTTAACTTATGTTATACTAATTATATTTCTCAGCAGAGTTTAAACTCCTTATCTGCAAAGATAACATTTCAGTCACCTCAAACTTGCTCGTACTGACTTGTACTGTATTATGCACACATGAATTCTGAAAATTCATGGCATGAAAACTCTGCTTTCAAAGTTTAGGTTTAGAACACTGATAGCATGATATAAAAACCATCACGCCACTGGCATTATATGGCATCCTGCTATATGTGAACACTTGTTACTCTCTTTGACCTTAAATACCAAATAATAAATTATGGTTTCATTTTTATTGCTATTTCTTTTCTTTAAAAGGGAAGAAAGCTCACTATCAGAAAGCTCATCATCGGGGCTGGGGATTTAGCTCAGCGGCAAAGCGCCTGCCTGGCAAGCGCAAGGTCGTGAGTTCGGTTCCTGGTCCCGGAGAAAAACCAAAAAAAAAAAAAAAAAAAAAAAGAAAGAAAGCTCATCATCAGTTCATTAACCGAAGATATCATTTAGCTTTTTTTGTCCTTCAGAAATATTAGTGGAGAACCATGACTTTGGTTTTTCCATTCTAAATTTGCAGGTAACTACTTCTGAAGAGTTCAGGCTTGGAATGATATTAAAAGTGTGAAAGAAATACCTTATTTCAAAGCATATGAATGTTTTAACAGTGTATTCTTCTTGACTGGAGAGCCTTTAACTTCTGCAAGAAAAGAGGAAGAGAAATTATGGAAAGGACTGGAACTAAACCTTAACCTAGAAGAGAAACTGGCCAGACTTGGGTGGATATGCTTGATTTAAACACTGTTCAGACTTGCAACCTATTGCACAAACATTCTCATTCTGTCAGACCCACCCATTTCCTTTAGTAGAAATCAGTGAATCATATCAAATCCTGAGTAAGCTACCATGATCTTTACCTTTTAAACTTCTATCTATTGCTCTGCCTGTGATTCACTTACACTTGCCCCCTGCAATGCTATCAACCTCATGTACTGTCTGCTAGGTGATGTATCTTTATAGGAAAATGTGTTTGACCGGAGATATTGAATGAAGAGTTATTTTGGAAACAATTCGGCTACAAGTTGGGAGACTTGGTTTTGTTCTCGTCCTGCTTGCTTTTTTTTTTTTTTTTTTTTTTTTTTTGAGGCAAGGTATCACTATGTAGTGCAGGCTGGCCTTGAACTCACTTATGTAGCCCAGGCTGGCCCAGAACTCACCATGATCCTCCTGCTTTAGCCTCCTGACTGCTAGGATTACGGACATGCACCACCACACTGGGCTTAGTTCTGGTTGCTTTTAACTAGTTCTTTGATCCTGAAACAATGGTATTATGGTCTGAAATATCATTTATAAAACTGTTGACTTGGAATAATTGAGGTTTTACTAGTCTCATACTTTATGATTATACATTGGTTGCTTATCTATTTTTGGAAAATAGACTTTGCTAATAATATATATGTAGCAAGTATAAGTACAGAAGTAGTTCTTGGGCTACGGATATAGCTAAGTGGCATAAGCGCCTGCCTGGCAAGCGCAAGGTCCTGAGTTCGATTCCCTGTACCAAAAAAAAAAAAGTTCAGAAGTAGTTGTCATAGTACCATGATGTGACTATATAATTCCAACAGATTTACAGGATGAAGACAATTGTTTGAAAAAAGAAAAAATAGGGAAGATATAAACCTGAGCACAGTGGTGTGTAGCCTTGGCCTCCACATTCATCATGTAAAATTTATATTGTGTACAGAAAGTGGGTTTTAGAAATAGAATGTGCTGGCAACTCACAGTGTTGCTGAGTTATAAATACTGATACAATATCTGCTTCAGTATTTTACTTTCACTTATGCTTTGTTTCACTAGTTATGAGTTTTTAATAATTGGAAATTTTAAAAAACTTAAAAATGAATAAAAAGAATACAACCATCATATTCATAATCTAAATCATTTTGACACACTTTAGAAATTACAGCATTTGTTTTCACACTGGCATTCTTTGTACACGTTGCACACCTTGGTTTGAGTTCTTCCAGAAGTAGGTTCTAAGTGAAGGCTTTGAATGCAAGTGGTTTGTTTGAGATAAGCACAGGATGCTGGCAGCATGGTGGGATAAAAGGACTAGAAAGCGAAGGCAGATAATAGAGTACAATATATAGCACACTTGTAATGATTCGGGGTTGTTTTCACAGGGAAACTTTGAGAAATGATACAAAGCAGAGCTAGGAGGATCCCACTCGAATTTCAAGATACTGGATTTGGTACTTCTGAAGCTCTCCCAGTACTTCTGGAGCAGTAACAGTGTGTATGGGGGACAGCAATCATCCATGGGTGGACCATGAGAACCCTGGGCATAGAGGCGTGAAAAGCGGCTGTTAGGAGTTAGATGGAGTCCACAGAGAAGTTGGAGGGAGTATAAGTGCTACAGTGACAATGTGTGGTTCAAGATGGAACCTAAATTTCAGGAAAATCTGCTCTTATCTTGTAAAATGGAAACATGATTAAATATTTAAATAACTTAGAAAAATGGAAAACGGCACAAGTATTTAAAGGTAATTGATATTTGACCAATTGGCAGAAATTATCATTTTCTTTAGGTGAACACTACTCTTTTGTGTGTGTGCGTGTGCCAACTTTCAGTAATGTCTGTTTTGTACTTTCCTTTTAAAAAGTTTATTTCTGTGATTATGTTTATATATTATTTTGTTTTCTTAAATCTACAGCTTTCTTTCTTATTTTTGTTTATCATATTATCTTTAAGTTTTGAATTCATGTTCCAATAAATATATTCCCTAAACAATCATTGTGGTACATTTTCTTATATTTTGAGGACATTTTCTTCTATACTGGAGTTTTTACTTTTGTTCTGAAAGTTAAAACCCTGTCCTTTTAAAAATTTCTTTCATATTTCATTTATTATGTGATACTACTTTTGCATATTTGCAGTGTGATAATTCCATTCATGTTGCTCAGAATTAAGCAGTTCTGTTCAGATGATTTTTGATGATGTAACTTGGGTATATTTACTAGTATTCCCTGAATAGCTCAACCAAGTTTATTTTGACCTCTACTTGTTATTTGTATGCATCCTACCATTTTAGGAAAATAGATGATACAATGGGAAAGACTGGATAAGAAGTCAGCCAAGGTGGTGTACAGTCTTTATTATAACACTATGGATCTGTTCTCCTCCAATATTTTCTTGCATATCCTGTACAAGAAGTCAGACCGTTTAGTTAATTGAGTCACATGCTTACAGAGGCTTTTAGGGTTTGGGCCTGAAGTGTTTCCCAAAGCTTATGTGTTGAAAGGTGGGTATGCAAGGTGGCAACATTGAGTTTGGAAGGGGATTAGATTTTAAGGGCTCTAATATCATCAATGGATTGATCTATTGATGGATTCATAATTTAATGGGCTGTGGAGAGGTGGTGGAAACTTAGGACGTGGACACAGTCAGTGGAAACACTTCCTTGCACGCATGTCCTCAGAGACTGTATGCCGTGTCCCCTCTTGCCCTCCCCCCTCTCCTCTAGCTTCCTGGCTGCCATGCAGGGAGCAACTCTGCTCCTCCACGAACTCCCTATCATGACATTTTGCCTCAGCACAGATGTAGAACTGCAATAGCATGACAAACATGGGCTGAAAACTCAGAAACTGCAAGCCAAAAATGCATTCTTCCTCTTGTAAGTTGATTTCCTAGGGTATTTTGTCATAGCACCTGAAAACTAACACAGGGCCCATGGTTGGATTTTATCCTACATCCTCAGAGCAGCATGTTTGGCTCATTTTGCATTGTAATAACAGCTCAGTTTGTTGGCTTCTGGATAGCAAGAAGTAACTTTTCACTTAACTATGGCTTAAAACTAGACATGGTTGGCCACATATACTTTCCTAGCTACATCTTTAGATAGCAGAATGTTCAAGTGTCTACTATGATAATTTATTTATAATAAAATGAGATTACAGATATATGGGTTATATATTATTGATGAGCACTAATAATTAACAGTGAACTAATTCTTTTAAAACAAAACAAGGGTTAGAGATGTATCTCAGTGGTAGAGCACTTTCTTAGCATGCACAGGCACCTGGCTTTAATATCCAGTACTACAACCAAAGCAAAACAAAGGAAACCAAACCAAAATTTCATGGCAGGATGAGTTTGCTATACTCCTGCTTAAAGCTTTGCCTGTATTTCTGACATTTTGATTTAAAATAGATATTTAGTTGTTATCCACCCTTATTACTGAGTGGTACTGATAAAATACACATGTATGATTTTAAAAAACCTTGCAATATATAGAATGAATTCTTATTTTGTAACAGATATTAAGGAGTTTGGACAGTACAGTAATTTTCATTTAATTTATTTTATGATTTTATATAGCTGTGTTATAATCTAAAATATGTAACATAAAAATAAGACCAGTTAGTACTCTTAAAAAGTGCTAACAAATAATAAAAACATGTAAGTAAACTGAAGACATCTGAGTTAGAAACCAATACAGAAAACACTTTTTGATTACTGTTAATAAAAAATGAGAGAGCTAGCGAGCATCATGAATCACCCTTATTCAGGGACTGAATAAAGCAGGACAGTGTAGCTACCCTACACCAGAAGAGAAAGGAGAAAAAGACTGACAGAACCAGGTTAGAGCCTTGCCCATTTGATGATGCTTCCCCTTAGATGCAGAAACACACTAACAGTGAGCCTTAAACTGGAACAAAAGTAATGAGGCTAAAAAGACTGTGATCCTTTTCTCCTCTAGCCCTGCAATCTCCTAGTAGCGCCTCTCCTAGGCCAAAGCTATCTGAGACCAGAGAGCAAAGGAGACCGTGGTCTGGAGAGAGTGTAGATCCACCTCCTGGTGTATATCAAGGCACAGAAGAGGGGAGAATTCATATATAGGAAGAGATAGAGGCCAGTCAGTCCAGCATCTTTCCCAAATATTCTCTTTGCAAAGAGCATAATTTTCCCAGGTGTTGAGGTAAAGTAGAGGAATGAGCTACTCATAGAAATAAAAGGCATAATTTTGTACATTTACATAAACTTAAAAGGTCAGTTTTGGGTTCATCTGTAAAGCAACATTGCTTCACGCACGTTATAAAGATACAGGGGTCCAGATACAGACTTGTTCATACTATCTTCATAGCTAACACCTATTCAGTACTACATGCAGAAGACCTTTACAACAGCTTTCAATGAATATACGCATACAAAGCTAAGTTGGTGGCCATCTTATCCCCTCCATTTGGCATGTGAAGAAAGGCGTCTCAGAAAGTCTGCCGCAGTTCATCTAACTAGAGAGCGCTCGCCCTTAGCTACTGTCCCTAGGCTAAGTCTATATGATGAGTGCATAGATGTTAACTGCTTGATTTTGAAGTCATGTGAGTTTTGATATTCTTTTTTATTATAGTTAAGTAATTCTTACCCAATTGGAAAACAAATTTAATCTTAAAGAGATGACCCAGTTCCCAAATTCTCTACAGTATCTGAAACCATGATCCAAGATGTTCTGTACTGGAGCATAGCCAGTTCTCTTTTCATTTAGCAGTGGGCCAGTAACATCCCCTCTGTAACCTCATTAGCGTCTTTCTCACTCATTTACCAGATCCAATGCAACGCATGTTTCTAAAGCTCTAAACCATCCTTCTGGAATACTGCGGGGCTGAGTTATCACAGCACTGTGAAGATATTGTGTATTACAT